ATTAGAATTTTAAGTTTCGAAATTTGTAAGTGTCTTTGATGGGCGTGGTACGTTTTTAAATTTTTAAGGATCCTTACTTAGGGAGAATGTCGCTTATCTATCTGCAAAATATTTAAATAAGGTAGAGTACACAAATGTCAATGGTGCTTCTTTTTTTCTAATTTGATGCACTCAAAAATGAGTAATACGTCTTATTAAGGAGAACTACATTAATTGGTAGGGATTGGTTAGAATTTCACCGCCATCCTGCAGTTCGGAGTTCAGTTCTTTGAATTTCAGAAAAAAACAAGTACATTTTGACACATCTCTTTCTGTAACTTAATTTTACATCTTCTGTCATTTAGCTACTTCGATTACTATGTTATACTACATCTGAAAACTATACAAGCTGATCTGCAAAAATGAACAATATTAACTCGAATAATTAAGAGTCATCCAGCAGTATTTTTGATTTAATGACTTAGACAGTGATTAGACAGCTATCTTCAACCGCGACGCGAGTCTTACACCGGATGCATGTACACGTTCGCTTCTCGAAATCCACGGAAAAAATGGCCTGATTTCCGCTTCAAAGAGCGCATTTGCGATTAACGTGCAATTATTCGGGTCAACAATGCGATGGGATTGCCATTACTCCGTCATTGCTCCCTCTCTCTTCATCCACGTAAATTGAGGGTTAGGGAGAAAGTAGCAACAGAAAAAAGAAGCGAATGGCCGGCGAGGAGAGGCTCAATTTTCCCAAAGAAAGTACGACGGCATATCGAGGAATGCCAAATCATCTTTCACGCGATAAATTAATTGCTCGACTGCGCGTAATGGCACGACAAAATCGATAAAATCAGCCTCCTTCCATATAATCTGCGCCCATTTACCACTGATAACGCATCGTTTATCCCCACTTTACCCGGTGACTTTACATACCGCACCACTTTCTAACTTTTTGCAACTCCGCAGTTCCCTCCGATTAACGAGGAGAATCAGTCTGGTTAGGTCAAAATCCTGAGCACGTGCAGATGTCTCCAAGTTTCATTAAAATTGCGGAAATGGCATATCTTTGGGTGTACATCATCCAAGCAGTATCGTTCGTTTGATTCAGAGGAAAAACGAAGCATTGCTAATCATTATCAAAGTGGCCAGTTTATGCTTTACCTGTTCTATAAATCCCATCGAAGCGGTACAATATCACTCTATAAATTGCAAAGTGAAGCGTGAACGAGCTATTTCGAGACTCCAAAGAGAATTCCAAGAAAATTTATCCAGCATCTACATCTATACTACTTAGATCGTTACTATCACACAAATCTGTACGATGATGGTCAAGTGTACAAAATGAAAAACTGGTTGATTTAACGCGAAGAAAAAGCGAAGCATCGCTAATTATTATAAAAGTGGTCATTTTATAGTTACCTGTTCCATAAATCCCGTTTAAGCGGTACAATATCAATTTATAAATTTCCTAACTTGATAAAGCGAAGCGTGGAAGTGCTATTTCGCAGCTCCAAAAAGAGTTCGAATTTATCCAACATCTTTAGCTATACTATCTGTATCTTCGCTACAATACAAATGTACGATAATGACCATCGTACAATCCTATATCATTACCACTATACAAGCTTAAAATCTCCTTAATGTAACTCGGAGAAAAAACGAAGCATCGCTAATCATTATAAAAGTGGCCAATTGATAATTGACTGTTCCATAAATCCCATCCGAGCTATAGAAGCTATCCAAGCAACGTTGCTTTACAAATTCCTAACATATAAAATGAAGCGTAACATATAAAGTGCTATTTTCAACGTGCTATTTCGAAGTTCCAAAAAGAATTACAGGGGAATTTATCCAATACCAGGAGTTAAAGGCCGAAGAGTAGTCCTAATGACACGTGACGAAGGTACGAGCCGTACGCCACGTCGAACCTCCATCCCGCGGACGTTCTCATCGAGTACATGTGCACGCGAAGACTTTGGTTTCGCCTTTCCTGTCACGAGCACATTGTATCGTTCCTGACAAAGATGCCTGTAAAAAGATACGCATCTGCGTATTCGGGCAGTTCATTTCGGCAAAATAACGGTGTGCTCGAAATGGCCGCGATGAAAAACGACCTGTGCAGACGTTGAAGTCTCCAAAAGAGTCCTCGACTTTGGACAGGTTTGAATCTCGTATGTAATTCGGCTTAGTATTATTTTCGACGTAATAATCTTCGATGATCGACGAGAATCCTTAATACTCTTCGAAATAAGTACCTAGGGCCTCCTTAAATCACCTGGAACATTTTTGAAGGGTAGGAAGAATGGTATAAGAGGACAGGAGGTAAGGATGATACGAAAGGATAAGACGCAAGAGCTCGAAGATCCTTCCGTCCTGTGTTTGACGCTTCGAAAACTGCTGATGTCATAGGACTTTCCGTATAAAAGAGCACATGTAAAAAGGAAAAATTCTATCGGACAGGGTGTTCCCGCGGAAATGATGAATTGAAATTTTATGCAAAACCTGGGCGGGATGAGCGAAGTTAGATGGAGCGTATTGCCACCGTGTACAGAGGGAAGACAGGTATAAAACAAGACCACTGGCGGATAACACAGGTCTCTGTAAGCTGACTGCATCATCCGCTAGGGAAAAGGTAGTTGGTTTACCTTACTAACAGCGGTTCGAGAAAAAGGAACCCGACGCCGGTAATAACGAGGTATCGCGTAACAATCAACCGGTACTTAATCGTAAATGCTGACGGGCCGCCATTATCCTTTAAATCGATCAGTCACACTGTTAATTATACTCGTTGGAATCTGAATATCTCCCGAGAAAATTACATCGCGCTGCCGCTCTACCATCTATACGCTCATAAATCCGCGTTGCACGAGGGCCGACGAGCTTGACTTTAATTGCTCGATTTTAATATCCATCTGGCGCGGCGTGAAAGATGAGAATCAATCGACTCGACACCCGTTTAAGATGGAAACGCGAGAGCAGAACCGAGGATAAAACGTTCTAATTCGAGACTATTAACCAACCCCTGCCACTTCGATTACACGCTCTCGTACAAAACCTGTATAGTTTAATAAACAGAAAAAAGAAAGAAAAAAAAAAAAAGAAAGAAGATACCGACTGATTCAACGTGGCGAAATAATAAACAACCGGTACATGCGATATTTCGCGAGTCATCGCGGTAAGAAATAGCGGACCCTACACTTGACACAAGCTACTACGCGGTTACTCTCGCAATTAGAAGCGATTCAATCAGCAAGTCGCGTGATGCTAAATCAAAATCACCGCTGTAACAAATCTCTAGCAATTAAGAATTAGCAAAACCAAATAGCCAAATCTATCTGCTAAATAACATTTGACGCATACGAGAAACCCTATTACGAAATCCGTACTGAATGGATTGTTTCGGTCCATCTCCCTTTCTGTCTGTCTCTCTCTCTCTCTCTCTGTGCGTCCGACCTTCTGCAAGGTCTTCGAGGAGTTCTCTCTGGTCAGGAATGCGTGACTCGACGATTTTATAACCCGCTTTCAATTATCATTCCTGATGCTCTTGTTCTTCTCCCTTTGGTTCGCGCTACGGTTGCGCCGCGAGAAGAAAGCCTGACGCGGGGAATGCACGCGCGCGGAATTTGTCCCCGTCGCGGCGGCGTTTTCTTTCCCCGCGTGCGCATCCAGTGTCTCGTTTTTTTCTGCGTTTTCGCTTATATGCGCTTCCCTGCTGCCGCCACGGGGCTACGTGATTTATTCGATGTCGATTACGGGGAACAGCCGGTGCCGCGCAATGAAGGAGGAAGAGACTTCCATACTGCGGCACACCGTTCCCGAGAAAACGAGTTGTCCTCGGGCACGTTCAGCCGGACGAGCCGACGATTTGTTTCGGCTCGTTCGCCGATGATTC